TTATGTGACATAAGTGAAAGTGGTGCAATACGCACCGATACGGACGCGCTGTCGATAAACAGGCGAGACAACTACTCCATGCCCATACTTACGTYGTTTGTTWTTGATTCCGTGCTCATAGGAAGGTATATAAATAAAAGATTAACACATATTTTCGATATAGACGCGTTGCGTCGAGAGTATAATTKATTGTCACTAAATGTTGCGTGACAAAAAAAGMGAGACCTATGCGGCGCGAGCTTTATTGCAGCTTGCATACAGTGCGCGTGCGATCGGTCGGAAAGAGATGGTGTCATAGACGGGTCGAGGCAAGTTCTAATTTAGCACCCCTTGATATTTTAGATCTAACTATTATAATTATAATGAAATAACATCAATTTAATGTTTTTAATAGTATAGCACCCCACGTTTTAGAGGTCTAGTTGCGCCTATGAAGAGCTGCTCGTTGCGAGCTCGGTCAGTCGAGATGTTGCTCGTTCGGCGTTGGTGAGCAAAAAGAACGATGGCTGGTCGGACGGGGGTATCGTTCTCGTCGTCGGTTGTGTTGTCGGCGTGCGAGGGGAGTCGAGATCGTTCGGACAAGGAACATAAATATTATAATAGTACAAAAGTTGTATATAACATCAAAACATAACGAATACAATATAAATTAAATAACTCACGAATATTATATGCATATGTACAAAAYAGCGCGAATTGCACGGTAACGCCAGCGGATCGAGTAAGTGGTGATACGAGCCACGGTATCGCCACACTACTTTCATCGCTTATTTCTGATTAGTATTACCATCGTTCACGATGTTAAGATAAAGTTTTACTAAGATATTAGTGATATTACACTAATTTACAGACTACAATTCGTATTATTAACACACTGACACACTGTTGAATTTTAGTAATTGTGTATATTTATTACAAGACTTACGTGAGTGTAGTGCAAAATATAATTTTTGAAGTAAAGGTTATGAATATTAAGAGTCTTAATAGAAGAAACAGGTTTATTTTTTTATTGGAGTTTCTGTGATATTTTATACCTGACTCCAATATGTGTTTAAAACTCATAAGTAAAGAATGGAATTATTTGCGGTTATTGCTGTCTTCAAAAATATCCCCCCGAAAAAAATCAAAAAAGAGACTATAAGTTATAAAAAGAATATATTATTTAGAATTTTAGAAACGCAGTAAGTTGACCGTTGTGGTCGGGCTCCATCGGTTGCCATGGTCGTCTTCGCGCCYCCGGCAAACGCGCCAGCGATTCTCGAACGCCCCGCAGGACCGACCGAATAACGTTGTAGAGGTGACCAGTAGCCATATACTTACTAGCATCTTCTGCGATTATCACCCAATCGCYATTACGTACCAYTCACATCGCCACGTCTTTTCTGATGCCTTTTTTTTTGTTTTTGTTAAAATTATTAGTTATTGTTTTTTTTTTCAATTTGCATTGTATTATATAATATTAGGTAAACTTCGTCTTTTTGACATAATCTGTTCAAAATGTTAAAGCACACAATATTTGTTATGTTTACTACATGGTTCATTAAATTTTTCAATAAAATATATTTTGTTTATACACAGAAACATTTTGTTTTTATTTTTAGTATTAAAAAGTACGATTTTTTAATTTAACAGAATAATGATTCCAGTGTGGGAAATCTTGGTGTCACGTGGGACCYATAAAGAATACTAAACATTTGTTTTTTTGTTACGTATCATATCGATCAAATCTCAATAAAATATATTGTAGTAGATATTGGACACGTCACACTTAAAAGTATGAGTTTATCGACGTGGTAAGATTTAAAACGTGATTACAGAAAAAATTAAAAAGACCCCGCACACAATATCATAGTAAAATACTAAAATCAATACATTTATACTCGAATCAGAATCTAAAATAATAATAACTACTTTTCATTATTGTTCTATGAACCCCGCATTGTCTTTAGTGTTTACTTAAAAGTAGGTACTGCTCCGATCTACAAGAGTCAGATGATCAAATCCGTGTTGAAATCTACACACGCTGTCAAGTTTATGATGCAGATAGAAAAAAAAAAAATAATACTAATAATAATAAAATCCCAAAAACTCGAAACAAGTAAAAATATTTTAGAAATATTATCAAGTATAGAAAATGATGAAATAAATTTTGGTGTAAATTTCAAGCAACTACGATTATTCGTTTTTGAATTATAACAATATGAGAAAATCGTTTATACCTCTACAACCTKAATATTTGTATCACCAAAGATATGGATTTCATAGCGACAACATGTATCTAATATCAAAAAAATAATATAATGTTCTAAAAATAAAATTGCTTGCCTTAATTGATCATGATAATGAGAACAGTAATGATGTATATTAAATATAATATATAATACTCGTWTAGTGAGGCAATGATTGAACAGCAATCAACTAAAGATTTGTTATTTTTAGATAACTTTAATAACTAAGACGGAACACACACATACACAAACACATAATCGTAGGAATTCAACGTTTAGGGAACGATCTCTGTACGTAAACGCTACCGTTGACTCATCTTATATACTCAAATTATATCCGTTACCGTTACGTGGCAGTTCTCTCGTTGAAAGTTAATCCACGTGATCTCTTTACACGTTAGCAAAGGCGAGGAGAAGTCTGCGCGCCTCTCGCGCACTGTAGTGCGTAGTATGTGGCGTTTTGTGCGCACTACGCCTGTGGAGTGAGGTGRACTGACAAAGGATACATATATACATATACATACGAGTAGGTATATAGAAATACGCAAAATCGTATTACAAAAAACTTGTGTTCACCGCTGTTGATGGAGATGGAGGGTTAGTGGCTCGGGTATTGCAGCAGGAGAGGAGGCTGTTTCTCTCGGAGCGGATAGCTTTCTCGCTGATGAAATCGCATTCCGCGGAACCAAAAACCCGTGACCGACCGACGTCTCGGCTGCCGCCTTTATCGTTTTGCGCGCGTCGTGAAAACAAAACGGAATTGTGCGGCGAGACATCAACGCTTTTACAACAATTTTCTCGCATTTTTTTTTTATTTTTTGTTTTGTTTTTCGACTGGGAAAATTTTCATTTCTGCTTCTTACCACATCTTGGGACGTCCACGCGTATACGAAAACTCTCGACGGTGGTGCCACTCAACCAAAGTGAATGAAGAAAAAAAACATCACGGAAGACGTCGCTTTACAACTACATATAGCTACGCATTTCAAACATACGTACACAAAAAGAAAGTGAAACCAAACAAATGGTATAATATAATGTATTAAAAAATATAGATATGCAATTGCAGATATACGGTCGAAACATATTATACAATATATAAATTGATTTCAATCATAATAATTCTGTATCCAATKTTTTTAATCTTATTAATATTGTTGGTGATCGCGGTTTAAAAAACCTTCTGATAACAGTATTAATTTTATGATTAAGCGCGTAGGTATTCAATATAGTATTAATGTATACAAATTTATGTACGTCATGATAGAGCTCTAAAGTATGGCCTGTCTATCTCATTTTATATGTTGACAGATTAGTTTGTCTCTATACCTATACAGTAATACAGTATATTATGTAATTCAATATTTCTCGTTCAGAGTTATATTTGCATTTACTAAGCAATATGCACATTATTGATGACGATGTAGACTTGAGATGTTGTGTGTGAACCGTTTTTAAATATATATTAATGTTTTGTAATATAAAAATTAACTCTCTAAATAAATTGTCTTTATTAAAATGTATGATTTTTTAGGCTAATCATCAATATGAATAAACATATATAAATGTTAAAATGTATAAATATTCGTATTTACTCTTCGCATCTGTAAATTAATCTCAAATTATTAAACACCAAGAGTATTCATATTTCTATACTTATATATGTTTACAAGTCTTCAAGATTGTTTGACTGTTTTCTTTTTAGGACCAAATTAAGTTTAAAAAAAATCCATAAACTCTAAAGTAAACCAAAGCTCGTTTATAAATTATTTTATTTACTGTTGTTTTACATTTTAAAATATAAATATAATAGATCCAAAAATATTATAGTGTATAATGAATTATTCTAGCTTTTTTTTTTAAATATATATTACATGGCGTATGATTTAGCTTGCAATATGCTAGGTTAATTCTGTATCAGGCTGTAAAAGATTACAACTTGATACTTCTTTTTTGTTGTTGTTAAACATTATGTTCATCATATTTTTAATTATCTAGTTTCATGAGCTAATATAAGAACGTCAAAAACTGTCTATTTACGAAATAATAAATTTAGGTATACGTATATCTGTTCCAGAAGTGATTGTTAAGCTTATAGTTATAACATAACAGTATTCAGTAGTACCTTTATTACTAACAATAAAATATTAAAATAAATATTTGATAATATTCATAATAATTGTTGAATATTTTTTTACCTATAACCAGATGAAGGTTAAAAATGGGTCAGATAGCCCCTAGTCCCCAATTTAGCTATGTGGTAGTTGTAACATAAGACTTATGAATTATGAATAATAACATTTAAAAAAAAAAATTAATATATTTTATTCACAAATAGATTCATAGATTTATTAAATATTTTTATGAATCATGTTCGGTTTTATTCGTAATAAATCTAATGCTATTTACCTTTCTATTTATTAGTCAACTGAAAGCGTGTATCATCTTAACTTATAGCAATATAGCCAATTAGAGCGATGTGATATGATATCGTCAATAACATTATTATTAAAATAATTAAAATTAAAACGTAAGCTACGAGAATTATTTACAGAGCTGTTTATAAAACTGATTTTTGAATAGACGTTCATCGCGTTATTAAAATATTGCTGAATTATTACATAATTTAATTATTTCGTGATTTTATAGGAAATAGTTCAATCATTTTGTAATTTTGTCCAAACACGCTCCATTTATGTGGTTATAACTTATAAGTAATACATTTTTTGCTTTTTTTTTTGCAAGCAATTCTTTTAAAGGACAATCGTATAATATTTTATTAGTCATTGCAATTAAATAGTGTTTTATAAATAAAATTAATTCAATAAATGATTAAATAATAAATACACAGGTGAGCGTGATGGTAAATTAATATCAAGCACATTCCAAGAAAAGAAGTTTGTAGTTATCGACTGGAGCTAGACAACAACCTGGGACCAAGCCATTGAATGCCGAATGCACCTATAGGGGCTGTAACTAGTATGGAGATTACAGCGATGGTTAACAATCGACTAGCACTTTCTTTGTCCGCTTCTGTCCCCATCATTCTCGCCATGTCCAACGCTACCGGAGCGAGTGCAGCCTGCATAAGAAAATATATCATTATAATACACGAAGCATAGTTAATATGATTACTGATTAGTTAATATTAAAAATAATTTGTTATAAACTAATACAAATCATGTAATAAGCGCGTAGAACATACCATTTGGAAAAAGATTATAAAGGATTACCTGGACAGTTGCTTTGGGAAGCCACGCAATATTAATAAATATCACTTCTTTAATGTTGAATCCTGCTCCCCAAACTGCACATGATGTTACAATTAAACGAACCTTTAACATAATACGTAAATAAGTTATTCTAAGTTATTTTTTTAATATTAGATATAATGCTGGGCTAAATAATAGTTTTAGAGTTATAGAGATGTTTATAAATTTTATAAAAAATATGAAATTCAAACACTCATAATAATTAATTTCACTCTCTAGTAAACTTGTGAAAATTGAAAATATATACGGTTATTAGTTTTTGAATAATAATATAAGTTTAACTGATGTAGCTTAAGATGTTCCAATTTTTTTCTCGGTTTTTTCTAGATGTTTTCAAAATTATTTTGACATTTATACTTTTTATCACCTAAAGTACTAACTTCGTTCAATTCAACTTTAACTTTTCCCGTATCAATGTATATGAAATTAACTTAACAAGTTAAATAAAATCATTAACTTGTATGGCTTTAATTAGGCATTTGTCTTATCCATAGTATCAAATTAAAATTTTTTATAAAAACTTAATCTATTTGTAGGTACATTATATTATTATCTGTTATTACTCTTAAATGTTCAGAAAAAGACAATATATTTAACATCCGCATAGAAGAGAAAATCAATTTTACTAACGGTTCTTTATTATTTTATATTTAAAAATGTCTATAATAATTTAAAATATAATTGATTTTTTTTTAAGCACAACGTTCTTTAACCAATATCACACATTTCAAAATACTAACGAGCTTATAATATTTTAGTATTTTACTACCCGAGAGTACAACTTACTATCAATCCGGCGATAAGTACCAACAGTCCGGCAATGATAATGTCACCACCCACGAGGAGTTCGAATTTGACTTCAGTGCCTATGGACGCAAACAAAATCGGCTGGAGCCCAAACCAAATGGACTCGAACACCGCTTCAACCGGGTTTGTCTCGTTGTGGGCTCCTTCGTCTTCATCGTCGAGTGTCGAAATCATGGTTGGACTGTTACAGTTTTGCTTTTTTTCCCTCCACTTCCAACCAGTACCCGCCACGAACGACGATATGATGCAAGCCAATGGACCAGCTCCAGGATACCCGTACCACTGACTACCGGTCACGGCCAGAATACCACCGGCGCCCAACAAAAACGCTCTCATGGCTGTCACTGACCGGTCCGCCTTTTCGTCGCATGTGGAAAATATTAAACATTCAATGTATCTTATTGATCTTACAGGGTCATAATTTAATCAACCTACTTGTTTTTCGTCATTGACATCGAGTTTGTCTTTTTGGGTGGTGTTATACACATTTGCCCACGGTGCAGGCGGCACAAAAATCAAGAGGAATCCCCACACAAGTCCCAACGCAGTCCCAATGCAAACGTCTTCGGGTCCTTGAACAATCTTACTGGTCAAGTTGCCTGTTAAAAAATAGCGAAGATTACCAGAGCCGTATAGTTGTACTCAAACAATATATTTTAATATTGTATAGAAAACGCCATAAAACATAGAAAAATTCTAAAAAGCAAAAATAAAAGTAAAAAAATAATAAATCGAATTAAATTGTTACAGTACATATTTACACGATTCTATCACAGTTATGGTTTATGTACAGAACTCAATGTTATCAATATGGTGGTCATATCCTCGGATACACTTGGTAAGGCATTTCTTAAAGGTTTGGAATAATTGTGTAGTGATATCATGTGGAATATGTCACATACTCTCATCATTAACTGATTTCTGGTTGGAAAAAAATGATCTATTGTGAACATTTGTTATGCATGGATCGAACCAAGACATGATATTATGATGACAACTGAAACCACATAGGTCTATCGATACGATGGTCACAGGCCCATCCATACCCACACTCAGCGACGACCAACATCTGATCCAAATCCCTTCCATTTATTATTGCGCACCTGCGTACTTATAAATGATATAATCATCTAAACTAGGCGCCGGCAACCCGTGGCCTCCGGAACTTTTTTCTGCGGCCCACCAGATATATTTCATGGTGTTTAAAATTTTAATCTTATAGTTCAATTTGTTATAAATAATAATATTTAATCATGACTATTATATAACAATGCGAAAACAAAACTATGAGCGATATCGTTATCTAATCGTATATAATGTATATATCGTCGATTACGACAAATACGTAACTGGTTATAGGCTTATAGCCTTATTGCAGTTCGTTTCGAAAAATGCCAACGTGAAGTTTAAATTTCAACTGTTTATTAATAACCTATCGATTCAATGTCAAATAAACGTAAAATTAGTGATGGAAATCATACATTCAACGAATCATGGACGGATTTGTATTTTGTTCACCGAAAATAAAGATTAACTTTACTGTTAGATTTAATTTGCCAAAAACCATTTTATCTGTAAAAGAGTATAATTTTAAATGTCACTATGAAACAGAGCATAAATTAAAATTTATTTCTGTTTAAAATTCGAAGATACTCGTATGCTATAAAATGGTAATAAAATGCATTTATTTAAAATCCACAGTTAACAGCTAGTATTCCGATATTGTTCGTTCTAAAAATATGCATACATTGAATTGCCAAAGTAGAAGTATAAGAATTTGCACCGTTCAGTGTAAAACTGGTAATATTATAACATTATATATTTTAATACAACTTTGACGTACCAGTTGAAAAAACGATGCCCAACAAAACACCAAAAGCGCTAATTGACACAATGTCATCTAAACTCGACGCAGCTATCACCAGCGTGTTCACGCCGTTTTTTTCACCGTAACCCATATGTTTCAACCGTAACAAATTTGGGACTAAAACAGCTGGACTGACGGCCGATAAAATGAACCTTATAAAAATCAAACGTAATTACGATTTTTATAAAATTCCTTCGATTGCATTGTTAAAACATCAATATCATATTGTTAATATGATATGGTGTTAACTAATAGGACAGAATGTAGAATGTTAGTCTCTTTCATGTTCGGGTAGGTATTTACCACGATTATTAAGGAATAATAATTAATAATTATATTATAAGTTATTTATAACCTTTGTACTTATGAATTTATGATACTAAAGTTAATATTATTATATCATTAATTTTATGATATTTGCACTAAAAAATTGTGTTTGTAAAATACTTAAAAATTAACTTAACCTTGCCATTAAGCCAGTAAAATATTATAAATAATACTGTAAACAAATTCAGGCTCTCCAAATCAAATTGTCGACCCATAATAAATATTTTAGTGGGCCCTATAATATATTATTTAATATAAAATAAGCATTAATAATAATAATAATAACAACAACAACATTAATAATTATTAACAAACAAAATTTTAAAATTTAAAAATTTAAAAATTAATTTCAACGGGACTCTGTACATATTCCAGTCCAACAGCCCTCTCTCTTGAGCTGTCTTATCGGTGGATATTTTTTGTCTAATATTGTATCATATCCCAAATGGTTCATAAGAGGTTATTCATTGGATTTTTTTTTAATATCATATATTTATAGGTACTTTTTACTTTGAATTACAATATTAAACGTTGAATATTATTTTTACATGGCATTATTAACAATTGAGTTAATATCTATGATTCATATTTCATAGCCAATTTACAATTTAAAAATGATAAATATCATAATATGTTATGTACAATAAATTGTGTGAACGATTCAAAATCGTATAAATTGTACTACAGTTTGTGGTTTATTCGATTAATTTCGTATTTTGATGCATATTTAATGTTTAATGTATTTAGATATATTAAAATAGTAAAATCATAACGACGATTTAAATTAGTGCAACTACATAGAATGTAATTAAAACACGATCCAATTCATCGTATAACTAGTTGGTAAAATAATGAAAATATTGTTTTAATCTACACGACCAGATGTCAAACTGATAGTTAATATAAAATGTTTTCATATTAAAAATATTGAAATATCTTTAGCTGTTGTATTATATACAATTTATAAGTTATTGATTGACGGATAGTTATTATACGAATGACGAAAGCTAGTAACTAATTTAAATAAGACGCGATCTGTTATTTGCGATAAATTGCCGTTTGGAAAAGTTATTGTTATTGATTTTCGTGTGATGAATTATTTTAAACAACAAATTTTTGTTTATCCGCAGTTGCCACTTTTACACCAAACATGTATGGTTAGTATGACATGATTTGCATGCCATTCTGATGTCGTTCATGTGATGGTGGGAGTATATARGCAGACATTTAGCTGAGTTTAGCACCCAAAAATTATTCGAATCTTCTCTAATTAAACTAATAATAATTTATTTCTGTTATTAATTGTCTCATTTCGTGTAACAAGATTTTAGTGCATCTTAAATTTCAATTATATCTCAACCTATGAGTGGAAAGGGGTGGAAAAGAAATAGAACATTTATTTGAGCATAATGTAAAATATTGCATTGTATTCGTTTTTATATCATATATTACCAATATAAATGTATAAATATTCAAAATCAGTTCATTATTTGTGGAACACACAGTCCTCATACCTACCATATAACCATTAAAAAAACTCGAAAAGCTTGTAGTTAATGGATCTGTTGGACTAATTGTAAATTTTGAATTAAAAAATATATAATCATTACTATTTACTCACCCGAGCATCAGACCCCATCCCCAAGAAAAATCAGGCAAAATATAATGTGCAGCCACGGCCGCGGCCACTGCCTCGGCTATGCATGGCAACAGCGCCAGTCTGGTTACAGCACCACTGAGCCGACGCAATTGGGTTGCGTTCATTTCTAAACCACCTTTGATCAAGATTACCGACAGCGCAGCCTCTCTGTGAACAACATAAATGACACGTGACGATTGGTCGAATACGTTAAAACAATATTATTACAGTGATCTGGTGTGGCGCGGAGTTTGGCTTCAGTCACTAACGTGTTTTGAAGTCAATTTTTATTTTTTAGTATACCTATCAAATCCTTGCCACACGTGCATAATATGACACGTTTTCTAAACTTCTAACCAATCGTACCCTCCCTTACAGACTTACAGTGATACACATTCCAAATAAACTAGACTAATGACCTCAGATATTGAAACCTCAATTCATTAAAAAAAAGAACATTATTTCAATATTATGTTTTTTGGTTTTGCTGTGTTGATGCGTGATAATATAATTATATACAGAACCCAATTTGTTGTTAACACGCATTTCTGCGTTAAAAAATCATGAGTTTCAGATTAAAATTGCTAAAAAAAATGTTGTTTTGGATCAACGGCTGTATAGTCAATCTTCCATTTATTAGCGAATAAAACATATTTGGTTTGCTAATAATTGGTATGAAAGACGATCACTTAAAAATTTGACTTAATTATATGAACCACGATGATTTGAAAACGGTTTCATAACGTTCGGTTTATTATGTATGTTTACAGTGTTTATTTTACTAGACACGTTAAGTTTTTAGGTATTAATTCACTCTGAAACTAGTATTGAAATATGTTTCGGTCCTTTTTTAAAATTCGATTAAAATTAAAATATTCTTGTCCCGTTCAAAATATGTAACCAGCTACGTGTCTTGTGTAAGTTTTCCATTTCTGCGATGGAGTGCCTATTGGTGACGGCATGGTGGGGTACTGGGGTGTAGATCTAAAACTTCTGAAAATGTCAAACCATGTCAAGTCTCTACTCTTATTATACATTAAAGGTATGGCAATTCAAAATTTCAATGATTATTTGTGTGAATCTCAAAATAGTACTGTCATAATTGTTATTTCTGAATCGAGTAAATAGCTGTTGTTGAGTGGGTAGTAAAATTTTATTTCTGAAAGGTTCAAAACTTTTCCACTCTTAACTCCTACCTCTACCATTTGTATTTTATATATTGATCATAGTTGGGAAATATGAATGACTGMATTTATCCAAAAGCTATCCAAATTAARTATAGTTCAAAAGAGTGTAATTAMTCAATATAAGGTACTAAATAAGTCACATTCGTAATTAGCGACGATCAAATAATCCTGAAATTGGGGGAGATGTGGCTGATTTTTAAAAGGCACTATTATAATATTTAAAAATGTTATTTATAGTTTAAAATATTATAAATATTGAAAAAAATATCATTTGATACGAGTGAGAGGATAGGGGTCCTGTCMTCCCACTCTTCCTTCCTATCTGTCCACCTCTATTCGTAATTTGATAAAACAAACAATTGTTATGCTAAACATTTTTATTTACATATTATTGATATTTTTGCAATTTCAGTTTTTACGATTCCTGGAAATCCACCATGGTGTCTAAAAAGAAATTGGTGCAGAGATCTTTTTAAAGATTAACGAAAAAAAAATTATAATAAAATAATGATAATAATAATAGTAAACTTAATTTAAAAAAAATATCAAATCATATTTAAACAAAAAGAAGTGCAATTACTGGATGATTTCTTCCCTCACCCTATTCATGTTTTTTTCTTAAATTATATTGTAGCACATATTCATATTATGTCTTTGTATATAGATTGTATATTCTCTAATAAAAATTWAAAAAAAAGTTTTACACATAGCTTATAATAGTAGTAACAATAATATATTCAACACTCCAATAAAAAAAAAAAAAATGGGACCAAATACTGAGCACCACAAGGCGTGGACTGATAATTAATAATATCTTTGGCCTAATTAGTGTCGTACTGTCGTAAATTTATATTGATTATTGACTATATTCAGAAGAGGCGAACAACAGAAAACGTTTCATTAATATTATTTATAGACTTAATAAATTCATAGTAATTGTTGTAACTCCACATTTTTATATTAGTTAATCACTCTTCGGGATAGTTAATTAACTTTCTATTGATATATTTAATTTTTCATTCTTAACATAAATTAATGTTAATATAATACCTAATGTCCTAATAACAATACAAAATATAGTAAAAACCAGTGGTATTATTTTGTTTTTGATGAGCTGCAGACATCTTCTATACCCATCACCAGCTCCCTTATAATACAACCAGTATAGAAACTTATTTAGGTCGTTTTTTACTTATTCAGACTGATAGTTATTCTAACTGAAATTATAATTCAATCATATACAAGTTCCAGAATATTTTGAATAGGTCCATCCATTTAATTTTAGCTTATAAAAAACAAAAGTAATATTACWCTAATTGTTTTCGTTAATTATTTTTTACATAGCTGCATTTAATTGCTCTCATTCAGACTATAGTAGATACTAAATAAAGGCAATAGGCTATGGGTTATGTTAGTTAAATACCTTAAATTCGCTGATTRTTTTTATATCGCATCTGACCATCCCAGACCAATCCAGGGCCTATTTTTGGTTACCAATTTTGGTTGAGGTAAAAACAAGCCTCAAAATAGCCTTTACTATGCTACTGGACTAAMAAATGTCCTCATTTTTTTCAATAACTTTTATATTAATATTATATAATTCATAAATAAATTATTTAAGACAATTTTTCTAATATCATTATTGATTATAAATACTAAATAGTATCTATAATCAATAGTAATATTCRTCAAAAGGTTTGAATTGGGATATTATTTCGTCGAATTTCAACAGCTGATGGTAGAGAAAATATCTAATTGAAACGATGATAGTGTCAAACGACATGCGTTATGTTTTTTTTTTCAAACAATAAATAATGAAAAAAACCCTCAAAATCGAATTTTCAGAGTCGTGACAATAATTCTATGGATAAGGCTGTTGATACGCTATATCATTATTGACTGCTGAACTTGCACGAGGTTCGTAGGTAATTAAGGTTAAAAAAAAAAAAATAAAATCTATCCATCATCGTATCGTCATTACCGCATTATTGCCACCAGGTGGTCGCACCAATTGGCAGTGACGGTGTACAGGCCGAAGTTTTGGAGAGCTATGCCGGCCACCATCATGCCTAGCAGCGGAGGGAGGCCACCTACCACGTCGACGATGTGGCCAGCGGCCAGCCCGGCCACGTACAGCATGAATATGGATGCCACGCTGCCACCGGGTACGGCCATCAGCGCCGGYGTCACGTTCACGAGAAGCAGACACCAGGCCACGGCCACGGACAATACGACCGCGATAGCTTCTGCCACAGTTGCCGGCCACCGATTATCGGACCAGGACAGCAGCGATGACCACCTCGAAGGCCGGTCATTGTGGTCGGTGATGTTCATGTTGTATTGTTTCCGTGGCTGCATACGAAATTGCTGTTGTGCCGCCAGATCGGCGCCGTTGTTCTCGTCTCCCATTTCATGTGGTCGCGATTCTCCTGTGACCGATTAAAAAAAAAAGATTTAACAGTCAATCCTCACAGAAAACTCGAATCTCGATAACTCGAAAATCTTGATAGGTCGAATTGTAAAAAATTCTAACTTTTTTTTAAGAGGTATATACATATTCGAGTATTCGAGTTATCGAGACTAGGAACCAACACTAAGTTAAGATGACAAACGTTAGTGGGTAAGACTTTTTTTTTTTAATTTGTTTTTAAGGTAAGACTTAATTCAATAAAAAATTTAAAAAAGAAATCGAGGCTAGAATGTAATATAAGTAATAGGTATACAGGATGTCCCGTGAAGATTTACCCATTGCGATATCTCTCGAAATAATAGTGATATCGAAATTTTGGTTTGTTAATACAACTCACAGAGATAAGAACTACAATTGTTTCATATTTTAACGTTTTGGTAAAAAAGTTAAAAAAATATATTTTTATATTAAATTATTTCCAAAACAAAATTAAAGATAGTTATTTTGTAGAATTTATTTTTCTGAAAATATTGACGTTTCAAAATTTTATTTTCATTAACTTCCTGATTTTTAATATTTTTTTAGTTTCGTGAGATATCGCAATAAATCCTCACGGGACACYCTGTACACTACACTCGCATCACGTGTGTTTCCCGCTAAAAAAAAAAAATAATAATAAAAAAACAGAACATGACAAATTTGAAATTTTTACCAGTTTAAAATTATCTGCAACTGTATTGCTCTAGCTGTTTTTTGTTTTTAAAATTTAAGTGGATTGATGATATATTATAAAATTTAAATGTTTAAGATTATTACATTTAAAATGTACGATCAATTTATAATATTAAAATGTTCTTAACTTTTTTCGTAGTCAAAATAWCAGTAAAAGCTTCTGATTTGCCTTGAATAATGATCTTACCTTTAAATTKTATATATAGTATGTCAATTCTCWGTAATTTTATAAATACAACAGAGGAGTTAAATGGATTAGTTGTACTCTTGTTAGGTGGCGGTCACACAATTTTACGATAGTGCGTTTTGATTATTATTTTAGTCGTACTTTGAAATAAATATAAAAACTAGARAAGGACGCGTGGCAATATATTACGAACTCGCAATATTTTGTTTACACGCAAGAGCGTGTCCGGCCGGCAAATGCCTCTACGCGTATAAAAAGARCTCACTACGTTACGAAAATATGACAAGGAATAATATTGTTAAGTGTCACTCATACTCACACGAGCAGAAACGAACGATACGATTTAAAGACAACAGCAAAAAGATTATCTAACTCGATGAAACCAAACACGCGCGGTGGGTGTGTGCGTCGAGAAATTGACTGTGGCAAGTGCCAACAAACAAATATTACGACATGGGTACGACGAGTGAGTATCGTGACATTATAATAAATAATAATATAACAACTATATCGAGGATGGGGGAGTTAACATTTTTTTTTTTTTTACACGTCATTTAGTGTGTATAATATAACATTAAGAAGTGTATAATATTTAATTTAATTATGCGTTTGGATGGAATTTGACAATCTCTACAGACATCATTAAAATATTTACGATATTTTTATTTATAGTTTTTTTCACTAAACTAATAATTTAAAAAAAAATGCTYTTTAAGCCCAAGAGATTAATACATATTAGGAGAATAAATTTAACTTATGTGACTATGAAATCGATTAACTAATTAATATATTTATGTGTCATTGAACAACAATTTTTAACTGGTTAAGTTAAAAGTTACAAAAAAAAAAATTAACTCATCATATGACATAACTTTAACTTTTTAGGTCACTAATGCCTAACCTTGGTTATTATAATGCTATATTTATAAAAGAGCTTAACATTTCAATACTTTTTTTTTATTTCAAAATTTGCAGCAAAATTATGACACATTCTTACCATTATCTATTTCATTTCTGACGCATGCGTAACAAATACAAAATATAAAAACCTAYGTCGGGACTGAACAGATGCGCTTTAAGCGCAGACTACGCGTGATAATCGTGATATATATGCTATAACTCTATCCAGTGTGTATTATTTAAGGTTACAAATCTGTGCTGCTTAGCTTTCAACATTTCATTGTCATTTTTCATAAGAACAGAGTCGGGTARTACAGTAAGTTATCAATGGATGAATGAAATTCATGTTGAATTCAAATCCAACACAAACATTACTTCGCAATGAACAGGTACACACGGTACCAGATTCTAGTACATAAAAAAGTGTTATCTAGTCTCTCCTTTTTTTTTTTTAAATGCTAATATAATATTATAGTAGATACCCATAAAATATAATTTACATGTAATCTATATAAGTCATTCGTTGTCGTATAATAGTTTTAAAAGTATTTTAGATACCATAATAAATATTTATTCGAGTGTAACATATATTAACAATTTTACATTTATCTTCCATATTATCTTAAAAGTTAAAAGTGRTTCATATGAATTAATAATTCAAGCTATTCTGCAATGTTTTGAATTAGTTTCTATTATCTATGCATTGGTACACCGTAAAGATATTTATTATTRTTTATATGCAAACAATAAATTCAATAAATAATATATGGGCGTGCGAGTGTTTAAGTGGTATCATAAGAATTAATAACAATATTACTATAACTGTGACAGTTAAAAACATTGACGCCTAWTGTTCAAAAAGACAGTCTGTGCAATAATTAAACAATGCCAACTCTTCATTTAACATACAGATGCTTATAAACTTAATAATTTAATATACTTAAACGCATGATTCGGTATGAGATATGAGTATAATATTATATTTGATTCACAATAATAATATGGAGACCTATTTAAGCATTGTAAACTTATTTTTACTGCTTTTTCCTCTTATGATTATTCTAATAACACTCCAAAGGTTTTTATCCACATGTTTTTCTTTGCATAATTATATATTTTTTATATAAGTTATTAATAGAGTATATAACATAATAATTATTAAAACATCAYTGTTTTTTTATGTTTGAATAATGATGATTTTACGTGATTAGCCACAGACCGACATAAAAGCAGTTAAAATATTGGTGAATATTWAAATTTTTTTTTTGTATGCAACCGAAATCTCAAGCTGCAAGTTATTTTTATGCAAAGCAGACATTTYAAAATAAGTTGAACTGTTTTGAACAGAAATTGTATAATTTTTTTTAAATTCTGTGAAACAAAATAAAATCGCGTGTTTACATGCGTAGCTGAATTTCTAAGACATATGCGAACAAAAAAATGAACCACTTGACTGAACTMTGAATCGTKTTGTCGCACGCTAAACCTGCGCACACAGGAATACTTGAAAGTTTTAATAGTTGTGACTATGTGTGTATGACAAATAAGTGTACTCAACCTCAACATACAAAGCTATCTTAGAATAGTTAAAAGCTTCAAAATACACAGTGTACTATGAATATAGCTTCTAAATACTTTACTTTAGCAATAATTTATAGGATTAAATATTTTACATAAATGAACTCATTATCTACTCATACATCTATCTCTACTCATATATCTAACATGATGAATACGGCTAATATTTATTTCATTCATACGATAATAATAAACTAAAGCATTAATTAATAGTAATTGTTGATGAAATTTTATTAAATTACGTTTTTTAACAAACTATCACAATATGTATAAATTTGTTTTATTCTTAATTAATAATTATACATGAATTAATTTTTGAACGATTTATACGCAGTATAGACTAATTTAAAATTATTCTGAGAAAATAAAAACGAGTGTTATTACTTTATTAGTAATGGCTGTTGTATTTGATTTTATATTATTATATTATACTTATTTGAGATACTTAAAATAAAAATCAGTATACAATTATGATTTATAATATTATTTGAAAAGAAATGAATCTTAAAAAAAAAATTAATTTGAAATTAGTATATATACTCAATAAATTATTCTTTGTTTCAAATTAGAGTAGCTCAGACTATAGTTAGACTAGACATAGCTAAGTATAATATTTTAAATAAAAATGTATTTTTTGTTTTGTTTTTTTGTGAGGAGATGGTGGAGAAAGAGGTGTTTACTAGAAAGAGTTGGTTTGTGACTTAGTTTCTCAAAGTGATCAGGTTACTTAGTATAAGTACCTAAAAGGTCGGAACCACTATGTTTAATTACATAATGAATCAATTTATTTGATTGGTCACTAGTGCTATTCAAACCGACTTTTGTTCATATTACTGCAAAGACTGGGTAAAACTAAATTATAATTATAATTTTTTACTTGTTTGAAAATCTAGAGTTAGTACTTGGATACTTGGTAATGATGTTGACAATGCSTGAAAAATATAAATGGAAAATTATAAATAGTACACAATTTTAAAATTGCATACTGTAATTTTTAAAAAGAAAATTTTGGAAATTAAATTTCATGAACATTAATATAAAATGTAATATGAAAGATCATTATAAAAAGAAAAAATCAGTAACCTTTTAATAAATTTTAAATACATATATAATATATTAAATTATATCTATAGTGATGGCTGATATATTATGTACAATGTACACCGTTTTATGTCATTTGGATTATCGTATACCGAATCAAACCTTAACAAAACCGTAGCGTGCAAAATGAATATAAATACGAGAATATTATGTTAAATTATACGTGAAATTGAAAAATATCTTAAACGATTTTAAAGCTTACATTTTAAACTCATTGATCGACAAAATCTACGAACATTCGAAAAATTGTATTTTGTAATTTATGTGCTCGATTAAAAGTAAAATATTATAAACGATGATATTGGATATACTGTAAACTGTATATAGTATGTATCTATAGTTATTATTATTGGTCAATTTTTTATTTTTAAATATGATGAAGGTAGTTGTATTCACTCGCAAGATTTTAGTGTAAGTGAAAATACATAGTTGATAGGACCATTTTTTCCCAAAAGTAATATCACTTTTCTCTAAAAATAAAAAAACGAAAGTAYTTACAATTTTTTTCTCTCTCTATTGGACTAGAATCTTTATGTCTATTTTCGTCAATATATTAAAATCATATTAAGCAATATTTTACTATGCTTAAAAGTTATAACTTATAAGTAATAATAACATCATATTATCTTTGTGCTTTGTCTACATTTTTGCCCTATGTTTTATTCAACACCTATAACTTTAGCTATTATGTGATGTATTATTGAGTATGGCACTAATAGTCTATAATTTTGTAACTTTGATCATTATTAGGATACGAACAAATGAGTATGAAACTGAATACATATAAGTTAAAAGCATTAACATTTTTCTAAAAATCTAATTTAAAAAATATCTTTTGAATATTTATTTAAAAATAAATAAATAAATCCCAATAAAATCAATATTCATATAGAAATATATATAATATATATGAAATTCAAATACTATCTGCATATTTACTCAGTAGTCAGTTACATGGAAAACTTATACATTTTCAGAGGTTAATTTTATGTTTCACCCATCCTCCAACCTAATACAGTCATTCACTGAAATATTTGTAACTATATAAATTATTAAATTATCACCTATCAACCGTTATTTATCTAACAGACCAAATGTATCAATTAATCTTTAATATATTACCAATATATTTTTACTTTTGACTTATGGATATAATTTTGTAAATTTTTAACACAAATTATAATATAGATACAAAATATAATAAATAAGAATAGAATCACATTCAAATACTAAATGTCCATTTGTTTCATAAATTCATTTTAATTATCGATTTTCATTATTTATAATAGGACTTTTAGTGTATTATATTAAAAATAAATTTAATTATATTTAATAATAAACTAATAGACATAGGTATAGTATTACTTTCATGTCTTATAACACTAAGTGTAAAATCCAATTTAAAAAAAAAGTGACGCTATATCTGTATAATAGCTAAATGGTTATCATAGTTATTCACTGAAGTTATAAATGCTTAAATAATAAAACATCAAAGATAAGAAATAAAATGCTAAATTTATCCAAACAATTCAATAAAATCTAATTTCTTATAACATATTTCAAAATGCAAACACTACCTGTAGACAAACTTCCATAGTCCGCTGTTTCTGAATCGTATTTATTTATAAAACTAATTTTATCCTCGTTGTTTGACATAATTTATAAGTGCAAAACACGAAAATAAATGTACGGTTTTTTAAAGTATGAAGTCATGTAACTATTGTTAATTTTGCATCACAACATATTACCTGAACGATTCAAACACGGTGTATGTAAATAAATATTATAACAAAAATAAATTTTAGTTCCTTCAATTTTACACTTGTTTACATGACTATTACATTATCTCGGCGTATATAATAACTATATTCTATTGGGGAAATGAATTACTACTGACAGTTAGAAAATCAAAGTTTTTTTCCATAAAAATAAAATCTATTGCTTATTTTCGTGTTCTACACATTTCACAAGACTTCCGTTGTTCTTAAAATCGTGTCTGTTATACATAATTGATACATGGATATTAAATTATTGTAATAAATTTGGTCAAAGGCCACAAAAAGTACGATTAGGATGGGTAGCGTTAGAAATTCCATGAGAAGGGGATAGACTCGGAGATAAGATAAACAAAAAAATATACTAATGAGAATAAGTTTTACAAATAATAACATTTTACGTTGTTATTGTGTTTTGTTAAGCATAATTATTAAGCAATATATTATATATATATGTATTTAAATTATAATCATGCTGATAAAGTGGATATAACGAATTGTAAGTTCCTTCATTGCAGACACAGTTGATAATCCAACTTATCTTTAATTTATCAAACCCAGTGCTTTAAGATATATAGTAGTTATATACCTATTTATATTGTATTGTGGTATCTACCTAATATTATAATATAGCAACTACACATTGTAAAGTAGCAATTTCAACAATTTTTATATTTACAAATTCTAATAAGAAAAACAAGTTCCTAGCGAGATAAAAGTAAAATTTTAAAATAAAAATTTTAGAGATAGGTCTGTTTAACATAATATGTAGGTTAATGACTCCCTTCCATCATACAATAATGAATTCAATAAATTCATAATATGTAATGAAAGAATAAAATGGTATTGATATCAAAATGTTGGAGACTTATTCATTGGCTCCAGTGTGAGTGCATTCCGTTTATGTTGTTTATATTTCATAAGATTTGCATGGTCACGATTATTGTATAATACCTAAAAATATAATAATATAATATAATTTGACGTAGGTACAGTTTACATTTTATGAATATCACATAGTGACTTAATTATTTACTGTGTTTGACTGTAAATAAAATATGTATTGTTTACATATAAGAATATACTTATTATGTTATTAGATATGAATAATATTAAAATTTTGATTTTGGAGCATGAAAAAAGATTTAAAAGGACGAATGCAGACAGTTTATAATAATATTTATGTATGTCATCATTCACACTCCTCATTTTATTTTCCCTAGGCCTTACCTTGCGATTATTTCCTGGGTCAATAATGATTCATACATTACACATGCGTTTTTGTAAAAGATACACATGCCTTAACATTACAGATGTTGACATGGAGTAAGTACTGATAAATGCAAATACTGATACAGATATTAAAAACAAGTATTTATTGATACTTTTAAAGAGGTATTTTAAAATTGTATACTTAACCATATAAATTTTCTGAACCAAATTTAACTCAGAATTTTCGTACTTAACATTAATTTTTTAGAGCATTTCACTCTGCATAACTTGATATAGGTATTCATAAATAACACACATTTATATAACTTGGTTAAAAATATTAAATAGGTATATAAAATAAAAAGGGAAAAATTTATATTTGTGTATATAAATGTTGAGAAAATATTTGATATATATGTATTTGAGTACCAACTTAAAAAGTTACTGAATATTTTTACTCAAATACTTTACAAATCTATATGTATGTTGGTTGGAATRTTAATTATGTATTGAACACAAGCAAGAATATAAAAGTATTAATAATAATTATTTATTTTATAACTGTTATTAGTATATTCCCCGAGGAACAGACGTATCTCTGTGACGGACGTTGATGTTAAAGACAACGTCTAATGCAATCATCGTTTACAAATTGGTTAAATCATTCATCCCCACTATTGTGGCTTCGTTCATGAAGAAAATTACTCGACAACTTTCATTTTCTCTCTTTCCTTTATTTTATTTGCCATTGAGCGATCTCCATTTTCTTTTTAACTGCACCATTATCTATTCACTGTTTTTTTTTTTTTTGTTACCTACCCTTTACATACATCTAACTTTTTCTAAACTGATGGACTATATTGAACGGAGTAAAACGACGACAAGTCGTTCACGTGAAAAAAAATAATCATCCGAAAACACATAAGTTGTTAAAACTCTGGTAAAATTAAAATTAAATAGAAAAGATTTACGCTTCTATAGAGCCTAAAAACCTGTGTAAAACAGATGTCTCACAACCAAGATGGAAATTATCATTGAACATTTTGAACATTTTTACTAAATAAAAAATCATAATAATAATAAAAAAAAAAATTCTCGAAGTGGTAAGTCTTTGCTGTACATTTATTAGATGTCAAGAGAACCAATGTAATGTATGTGTTAAATTTAAATCCAATTAAATAAAATCATTGTACAAGAAAAAAAATTCTGATCGAAGACGGAATATTATACTCATTAATTTCACCAAGTATATTCAATAATATTATTGTGATTAAAGAAATTTATTTTGTTATTTTAAGCATTAAGACTACAATAAGTTAAATTCAATTACGCCAGAAAATTTACTATTTAATTGTGTGTATACGATATAAAAATGTACTCTAAAAGTTTCAAGTAACCACAAATAATATTTTTAAATTATAACCAAATAATTAAAATAGTTTTTCGTTATTTAAATATGTAATTTTGTCAAAATTTGAATTTTAAATACTTATAAAAAGTTTTTTATCCAACGAAAAAAAAATTACTAACATTTATAGAAAAAAACTAAAAATATTGAAAATGTCAATAAATTACTCAAAATGAGTGGAAATATATTTGAAAATTTTACTATATACAGGAAATGATACAATAAATATTTGGAAAAATCWAAGTATCTATAGCAAATAAATTTTGAAATACAACAAAATAAGAAAATCGCTCCTTAAGAATTTGTTTATTTACGGGTTATATTTATGAATATCAAATGTATAATTTCAAACGTTCATAAAAACTTAATCTGATTTTCCAGTAAAATTATTTATTTTTAGAAAAACTTTTTATACGATCTTGTATTAAGTTTTCAAATTTAGATATATATTATAAAACATTACTTATACATTTTTAACTAATAATAATTAGTGAATTTTGGTGATTTGGACGAATTTCGTAAAAATTTTAAATTCAGACGCTTATAAAAAATCAACATCAATTTAGGCTCAACTTTTAGATTCTGAGCGGAGTAAGGAATGTATTGATTTTACCATGATGTGTGTGTGTGTTTTTTTTTGTGTCATCACGTTTTGGGGCAGTAAATGTTTTGACTTCAGTACCTCATTCGATCAGAAAGTAAATCTAGTTGGAGTTATGGTGGGTCAAAAATATTTTTCTAAATAATTCGGATAAACAAACTAAAAATTAAGGAAAAAATGGGAATTTTTAACCACAATCAATTTTCGACAAAATCGATTTTGGTGTAACTTTAAAATAAATGACTATCGACAAATGAAATTTTCACCGAGGGTTTATATGAATATATTCTATCCACCATGCAATTTCAATTTAAGTTGAGTTGTTTACATAMATTTTAATTTTTCAACTTTTTTAGTTTTTTTAAAATTAATATTAATAATAATTTATTTGTTGGGTAGAAAAGCTTGAAAATTTAATACAAGGCTCGTAACGTAAAATTACAATAGCAGTTGAAAAATAAATAAAAAAATTTACTGTCACAATTTTTTTATAAGCATTCAAAGTTTGAATTTTGACAAAATACGTAAAAATCACAAAAATTCGCTATTATTTTAAGTTTGAAATTCATAAAAATTTTCTTTTTAAACCTAAGATTTGAAAATGTTTAATAATCTATAATACATCCTAGACAGATAAACCGTTTCCACTCAGAATCGTTTTTCGTATACAATGATATAATATCATTGGATTCAAATGTAATTTCATCCATTACAGTAACCCACTTGTAACCTACTGTACAGCAGAGTGACATACACGACATACCCGCTTTTTTTAAATTAATTATACCTATATACCTAGTTTCTTTTGTTCAGAACTAGATAAAGTGATCTTAATATTGAACTTTTCGTTCGTTTATTTGTTTATAAATTCATAAATTTATACACCTCGTAAAATCTTATCATTAAGGTCACAATAATAATTTTTATGCTATATTTTATATTGTTATATTACATTGATACATTATTTTATATTGAGGGGTTTCTCTGTGGTTTAAGGGGTAGCAATAGGCAATTTCTAATTTCGTTAGAACATCATACATCCGTAGAGTTTTGTGATAATATTATATCACTCAAAATGTGAGAACAAAATAATTTTATATCAGATGTGATTGATTGAAAGAAAAACAAAAAGATCATAGCDAACATGCTATGTTAATATAAATACATTTGTAGCCAATCACAGATTAATTTTTGACGTGATTAAAATAAAAACAATATACATTTATTTATAAAATATTATAGTAATTTTCCGTTGCTGTTGTTCCAAGTATGCCTAAAATAAACACTAATTACACCAACAAAATCTTAAAATAAGGGATGTTTTGACATTAAAAAATATATTATATTATTATTTTACAACCAAATTTTAATCATTTTAAGYCATTAATGTATGGTTGTTTAGTACTGTTATTAGTTATAATTTATTCTACAATATTTAAAGTATATATATAAAAAAATTTAAACTATTAGTATTTAATATTATCTTAAAATACTTCTATATTACATTATTATGTAATTATGAATATAATATGTTTGCTTAATTTAAAAATGAAGTTTAAAAGAGATTATCAGAAAATTCATATTTCATATTATAAATATTTATAAATGAAAAATAAAATAGATTACTTCTTAGTTGTTATACAACTTAAACTTAGTTTCTGTAATTAATATTTAATACGCAGATCTATGATTTTTTTTTAGTTTTGGCACTATATGAAAATAAATTAAAAAATATTTATTATTTGCTTCAAAAAGTTGAATATTTAAAAATAGTTTAATAACTCTGATCATATTGATCTTAAATTGGATGTATATATTTAATGTTGTATCGTTGTATGTTAATTGAGTATTCTGCCATACAATTTAATAGCTGTTTTACGCGATATAAATTGAAACAAATAAATTAAACTTATGAGTTTAATAAGATGCTGTAGTTAAACTGTTATGGAAAATAGTCTTGCTTTACAACAACATTTATATGAATAAAAATTGTATTATTAAATATTGTATAATTATGGAATACGTTGTGGTACTATTTAAAAGATTTTTAATGCAATGGTTTAAACATTTATTATAGTTAACTGTTTCTGGGTAACAATTTGGGACCAAATAACTGTATGCCAAATGCACCTACGGGTGCCGTCAATAAAATGGATATTACAGCAATTGTTACCAATCTAGTTGCACATTCAACATCTTCTTCTGTACCCAAATTCCTTGCGATGTCTAAAGCCACCGGTGCCAAAGCAGCCTATAACCAAAAACATAATCAACAACCATATTTTTCATATATAAGAAAAATAATTAAAACCAATGCAAATCTGGGGACTGGGATCCATTATATGTCCAATCATCGGCTGTTTTAGTGCTTCTAGAAATGTTTAGTTCACTATGGTTATATACCTACTACAAATTATTGTTATCCAAAAAACACAAAAATGTCAGTACGTCAGAGACCGATAATGATTATATGGAATATTCAACGTATGTTTAAGCTATTTTCCAAGTGATACTAAAAATATAGGTTTATATCGACGCCCTTGGTAATTTGGAAGAKAAATATTACTAGTTATATTTATAATATTCAATATTTTGGATAGCTTTGAATGATAAGAAAGGATTCTAAAACCATGTGTTTATAAATCACTTAATTTTTAAATCAAATATCCTAATAATTACTGTAATTGAATAGATTAGTGGTGCAACTAGAAAATCATTTCAGCGGAAGGAGGGTTTAACCCCCCCTCCCCCCCCCCGTTGCACCACTCACCTTATTTATACCTATTTTATTTGAAGGCCCCTTGTGTTAATACTTGACACCTTTTCATAAACGTTTTAAACTTGTATACGAATAGATAAAAGTATAGTCAATTCCCTTCGATTAATAGAATGTTTATTACAAGTAATTCAAAAAATAATATTGATTAATTCTATCATGATTCATGTTGTTAATTTACATAATTTTATTTTAGTGTGTAATTAGATATTTGGATTTCCATACAATAACTCTATTGATCATCGAACAAAATATATATTCTGTGCACATTTTAGGGTAAATATTATAATATAATAATAAAAATAATGTATTTTGATTTACGTTACCTGTACTGTAGCTTTTGGAAGCCACGCGATATTAACAAATAGTATTTCCTTACGACTGAATCCTGAACCGACCACTGAACACGTAGTGACAATTAGACGAATCTAAAAACGATAATACATACTATTATTATACTTAAATAAAATATAATATTGAAGTATATTTTAAATTATTGGAAGAATTATAAATGTAAGTTTTTATAAATAGGTATTACGTGATATTATTTTTTAAGCAATTATATGATACMATAAAGATCGTATTATTAAAAATATATGGTTTTTATGTTAAGGGGCACTATTCAATTTTCATGGACTTCAGTAAATTTAAAAAAACAAAATAATATTATTATTTTTCCGTTCATTTAAATTGTTTATTATTTTTTTTTTTGTGGATGTATAGGTCTATATCATGTAAATGTAGTTGTTTTACCAGATTTTATTTTTTTTAAACACATTTTTTTTTATACATTTTTCAATATTCTATGCACACACTTCACATACCATGAGTCCAAACGCGAGTACGATCAGTCCGAGGAAGATCATGTCACCACGTTTCAGCAGTTCAAACTTTAGATCGGTGCCTATAAATGCAAACAGCACAGGCTGTAGACCTGTCCAAGCGTATTCGAACACCTGCACTACTGAAAGTTCATCGTCTTCTCCTTTCTCCTCGCCATTTCCTCGGTCCACTCCGTCGACCGAGACCGGTGGGTTGTTTCGTTTATGCTCCGCTGATCGCTTCCTCCAACCGGTGCCTGCTACAAATGCTGATATGATACATGCCAATGGCCCTGCTCCTGGATATCCACACCACTGACTTCCAGTCACTGCCAAGAACCCGCCCGCGCCCAATAGAAATGACCTTTTGGCAGTAACGGCATTTTCTATCTATATGTTTTCGGTAGTAAAAACACAGGTTAAGTTTAGGTAAATGTTTATATTGAATCGGTACAAATAGGAGTGTACTTGGAAACGATGGAGGGATGATTGAGATATTAAAATTATTGCTCATAATAAAATATTTAATATGTGTAATTATCATGATGGCTAAAGCAAAATTGTTAAAACATTATTACGCGTGTGTGAATTCGGTCCCTTCTTCGCCATGACTAAAATTCTGTTATAGTCCATCAATTGTAAGTGCCTATACCTAATTGTAAGTTAATCCTCACAATAGGGTTGAATTAACCCCCAACTTCTATAAATTAGTTCCAACAGTCTTTAGGTTAAGACTTAAAAGTCCTTACAAATTCGGAGAATGGACTAATTTAAACTGATTATCTGGTGGGAGAGGGAAACTTCTCACACATACCTAAAATTATAAGTTTTTKTAATAACAGTTTTAATAAAGATATTATCTTGTCGATTTTTTGTATGAAATTGCAATTGGTGAAGTCAAAAAATGATTTCATAATAACAAATTTACTTCTGATTTTTTGGCATTTTGAACGTTTTCTCGTTTATTGTATATTATAGCCCATGGCGATGGAGGCACAAAAATCAAAACGCAACCCCATACAAGTCCAACCACTGTTCCAATCGCCACGTCAATTGGCCCTTGAATTATCTTACTGGTCAAGCTACCTATTAATCATACAATAATAAGTTGAATTATAGTAAAAATTATATTATTTTCATTTTTTTCTATTACRAAACTTTAAAAAAATGTATGTATAAGTGCTATCAATACTAATTAACTACCTACTAAAAATTAAATACCTAATCTTACAAAATAAATTTAGTTAATGAACACAAAGATACAAAAAAACATTATATTTAAAAATAAATATGTACACCAAGGCTCTAATTTAGTTCATCGATAATGAAATATTATTAAGTGATGAATGTGTTTAGCATTGTAAAAAAAATATTATTTATATTAGGGTATACATACCGTTTGAGAATAGGACACCTAATAAGATACCAAAAGCGCTGATGGATACAGCGTCGTCCAGACTTGACGCAGCAATCAAGAGCGTGTTAATACCTTTTACTTCGCCGTACCCTATGCGTTTTAACCGGAACAGACTTGGAACTAATACGGCCGGACTAACAGCTGATAAGGTAAACCTTAAAATAGAAAATATAAAAATTAAAATATTTTTCAATAACATTCAATTATTTTACTATATTTTATTATATTTTATAAATTAATTTATCCATTTACTTTTGATGTTTTATCTTGTTTTTACTCTTTTCTACTGTTTTGTTTAATACTATAATTTTATTACGATCAGTGTATGAATGTTTTTTAGGCCAATACTCAAACATTATTTCCACTTTTACCTCATTTGTGGATTTTGTTTTTACACAATTATGTTAATCTAATAAACAAAAAAATAAAAGCGTTATATTTTCTCTTGATTCGATTTAATACTCGTACAATTGTTATTATTATAATTATATTTTAATGAACTTGGTACTTACCCGAGCGTCAGGCCCCAAACCAACGAGAAATTGGGTAAAATAAAATGTGCAGCAACGCCCGCGGCCACGGCTTCGGCCACACACGGCAACACCGTGAGTCTGGCCACGACACCGCTGAGCCGTCGCAACTGGCCGGCGTTCAATTCCAGGCCACCTTTGATCAATATGACAGTGAGCGCAGCTTCTCTGCATAATACCAAATAGTCGCAACTATAGTTTTATTCATAGTAACTRTATTTAGAAATAGAAAATCCCTCCCTCAAAGCTCTCTGAGATGTACAATATATATCATTTAAATTCATTCAGTTTTACGAGATCTCTAGAAAATAAGTTGTACTGTGTGCACCCACTCATTATTTAAGGATAGATATTTATATGATACTAGCTATACAACACAGATTTTCTCCGAAAAAAAAAATAAGCAAATACGGTACTGCAGTAAAGCCACAGAAAATTGTCGTCGCTGTATAACTTCACATTGTGAGCCAATTTAAATCGGATACAGACATATATAACATATTTTGTAATAGTTTTGAACATGATATTAACTAGGTATTAGTTACTAAAGCATTGCAAACTTACTTTCGTTTTTATACAATCCGATTATATAAAAGTCACTTTTATTTCTATAACCTGCAATAACCTTACCCATATAGGTACGTATATATTTGTAAACATTCGGTTTTCGCGAGTCAAAATTAAATTCCTGATACGTCTCAACAACCTAAGGGAATTGAAATAATGAGTAAATATAGATTTATGACAGAAACAAGGACGTGAGATTTTTGGCTCATTAGGTGCCATCGATATAAATTTCGGATTTAAATTTTTAATAGTATACGATGCAAAGCGGTATCTCCCTGGAAATTTTAAAATCCTATTTATAGAATATACGCGGAGTTTGTCATTCGTCGAGAGGCAGCTCACCTCATTGTGGACACCAAATGGAAACACCAACCGGTGACGTTGTATAGACCGGAATTTTGGAGAGCGATGCCGGCCAACATCATGCCAAGTAGTGGAGGCAAACCACCCACCTTGGTGATGAGCCACCCGGCCACTGTTCCGGTCACGTACAACACGAATATGGACGCCAGGCTGCCGCCGGGCATGGCCATCAGCTCCGGCGATACGTTCACGTACAAAAGCGTCCATGCAATGGCCACGGCCAGTATAGCGGCCGCGAGGTTAGCTGCCGTGGCCAGCAGCCGGTTATCGCAACGGCTCGCGAGTGCCGCAGCGTCGCTGCCACTGACGCCTGCTGCACCACAACTGTCCGTGAATTGCACTCGGGTGTCGTCCTGATTGTGTTGCAGTTCCGAGCCGTTCTTTTCACCGTTCCTGTCACCCATCGTGATCCTGTCGACCATAAGTTGTCCAAAGTCATTAATGTATTATGTATAATAGCCAATAGGGAATGGAACATTTGGACGTGACCGCTTGGACTTGACCGTTTTGGCGTGAGATATTTGGACGTACAACATAGACGTAWAAAACAACTATAGATAGCCAACTGTGAATTACATTCCCATAAAAACGTTGAAGTCGGGCCGCCATATGCCAACAGGGCAATGTTTACATAAAAACTCAATAGATAAGATACCTATATTGATAAGTGATAGTAAATAATAATTCAAATAATGAAAAAACGAATTTCTTTTCATATTCCATAGTCAAAATGTCAACTACAAATTAAATTACATAAAGTAGTAATAAGTACATAATATACTACAGTACAAATATTTATATTAATTTTGTTATCATTAATAAATATTCTTATCAAYCATGCGATTTTGTAAACATTGCCCTGTTGGCATATGGYGGCTGACTTCAAKATTATCCCGTAGTCGGCTATCTAGTTTTTTTATATGTCTATGACGTACAACCATTTTGGAGTGAGATGCAAATGGCGCGGCTTGTCGTATAAAAGAGCGAGCAGTGGAAACGATGGAACCTATTTCAACTGTAATTAATGAATGTGTGATAGATTTATCTCAAGCAGCCAAGGTATGTTCAATTGTTATTATTAAAAAAATCTTGAATAAAGCTAGAAGATAACTAGAAGTAGAAACTAGAAGAAAAATTTAAAATTAACTATTTTATGACAAAAATACGTAAAAAAACTTTAAAACTGGATTAAACTTTTCAAGTCTGTACACGGAAAAAAAATTATWCAAAATTATTATTATTATKAATTATTATAACGTTATTTGTGCATAAGTAATATTATGAGTTTCAACAAAAATATCGTTCAAAATTTCTAATAACTCAACAACTTAGTACAAAACAAATTGTTGTCACGGACGCAACAAAC